TGGAATGGTTTGCACTTTGATAAAGATCAGCTGAACCTCCAGCTACGTTTGCTAGACCAGCTGCCTACTATTTTCTACTGAGAACCCTGCAAATAAAACAGTACTCACTGTTATAGTTCCACTGGCCAAACCAACAAATAGTCTTCTGCTTGTACCATGGTAATCTAAACTTGAACATGCATCTGTAGAAAGTTTAAGCTAAACTTCAGAAAGGAATTCAATTTATAATTAATATTACTTACGAAAGTTTTGTTGAACACATGAGAAGCTGTGTCATGAAAAACAGAAAAACATACAAAAAACAGATTYAACAAAATGGGGACTAAATGCATAAAATAATGATTCAAGTTATCAAATCAGTTAATAAGATAATATGAGAACTTTAAATAATTACTGAGTTATCTAAAGGTTTATGCAAACTTGACAATCTTCAAGAAAAACAAATGTCATTTGATTCTCACCAGCCATCATATGACATATACTCGGCCAGTATTGTCCACTTTCTCGCTTAATCCAAAGTCGTACGCTACTAAACACACAAAACAAAAACCGTCAATAGCCGTAAACGTAAAGAATACACTGATCAAAAATTGTAAACAAATTATCGACTCGGTGATGATAAGCTTACAATAATTTTCCAAAATACTTACAGAGAAAAACCCTACTTACTTGTCGTCAGAGACGCTAATTATTGCGTCCTCATGAGGAATGGGGACTGCCATATTTACTACATCGCTACAGCCTTCTAGTTTGTTAACAAGCGTGGGCTTTGGAAGAGATCTTCGCGTTCGATCTTGTTCCGTATCCTTGATTGTGGCAGCCATCTTGGTTTGATTTTGTAATCGAGTCACGTGCTCAGCCTTGTTTACCCAGTATGCAGCAGTTCTYCCACAGGAAGCCCATCATGCTTCAAATACCGTCAAAATATGAAGTCAAAATATTATATAAAGATGAACAAAGCTTATATAGCGCATATTCAAGTCTGCTTTTTTGACAAAAAGTTGCTGTTATAAAAAATCTTGAATTTATCTTTTATTTTAAATATAAGTCTTCAAAAAAACACACTTCCGGCTTCTCGAAAGGTTTGTAAACTTCCGGTTTACCCGGAATCGTTGTCAAAGACGCAGAAGGCACTCCTCCAATGAAAAGGGTATGGCGAATTTATTGACAATATTACTAGTTTTGCTGCTGATCTCTGCAGTAGTTTATATCGATGCAGGCAACTCAACTGCTGCAAACTTCACAACTAGTACTCCTGGAAGGGCGACTGAAAAAAACCCTACTACTGAAAGAACAACTTCCAAAAATTCTACAAAATGCTTGTCAAGCTTGAATGAAATAGAAGCTGAACTCTCTTCGAAAGTTCCTCCACTACAAGGATTGAAATTAGATAACTGGAGAAATATTTCAAGAGCTCTATTCCCTCTATTCCAACTACCGTCGTTGTACGTCAAAGTAACCCTACGACTGATCAGTGATGAATTAAATCAAAACGTTGATAAAGTCAAAAAGTTTACTTGGGCTGAAAGTTGTGCCTTTGTGACCGATGTTTCTCTTGAAGCAGTAACTGCATTCTCTTTGGGAACAGTATTGCCACAGCGAAGGCAAACGGAATTGGTTTTGACAGTGCATGACTTGTGCAACGAGACRGTATTTGAGGAAAATGGTTTTAAAGATGAAAACGATATGTGGAGATACGCCCTTTTCACGGTATGACGTACTATACGTAACTACTAGAGAAGTAGAATAATGCTGGGGAAGGGGGGGGGGATGGGGCGGCCGTTCCTTTTGGGGTTTGAAATACTTGGTCCCATCAAGGGTTTTAATGATGGGAGTTCTCATCTGTGATGAGTAAAAAGCGTTTGATGCTAGTCAATGTTTACAAATATGTAATTGAGAGGTCAAACCAAGTGACAAGTGATTGATTAATTGGTCAATTTTAGGGGTGTCGATTTAATCACTGTCACATATATCATTTCAGAATACAGACCCTTTTTGGGGTCCATTTTCAGAATTTCCAACAAGCACCGATGCCCCCATGGACTTCCAATATAATAATTTTGAAAACTTGACTGTCAAAATTTTTTTGGATGTAATTTTAAGTGTGACTGTATTAAAACATCAAAGCATACTAATGCCTTGAAAATTCATTGAATACTTTTGTAATAGCACACACAAATACCAATAAAATGTTTGTTGGAAGGAACATTTAGGATTTTAGGTATTTATAAGAGAGGTCATGAAAAAATTGTTAAATAAACACTTTGTGCTAATTCAGTGCAAAATTAAAATGCTCCATTTGTTAATTAGATTGGCATTATATAGCCTTCAGGCTTTTGCATTGAAGTGTGTCAAGGTTGAGCTTGCATGTAGTGATAGTTGAGGCCAGCTCACAAGGACAGTGTAGTTATAATGGTTATCAACCACATTTTTTTTACATTTTATTATTGCAAGGTCTGCAATCAGAAAGTGTCTATATTCAAAGCATTGCCCTTTCATTTTTATTAAATTATATTTTAGAAATGCAATGATTTTTGGAAAATAAATATGATTTAGTGAATCTTCAGTATTAAAGAACTGAAATTCAAATATTTCCTTTTCACAGTTGCAAGACATTGCCATCATGCCCAATTTATCAGATCCCCGAGTCAACACAGCACAGTGTGTGGTGGCAGGTCATGAAGGAGATGTTGATCAACCCATTGTGTGTCCAGACTGGTACAACTGGAGAGGAATCTGGATAGTAGTAGCATCTATCCCATTTACAATTGCTATTTGTTGGTATGCGTATAATTGGTTAGACAACAATACAAACACTAAGTTATCCAAGACTTTTCTAGGTTCAGCTCATATTATTGTTATAATATTGCCAATTTTTGAAGTTGTATACATTGTATTTGGAGGTTGTATCTGTGATCAGCCATGGAACAAGTGGTTAGGTATCATCCTTCATTTTGGTTTCCTTGTTCTCTTTCTAATTATCAGTATATTTGTAAAATGTAAAAAATGGAAAAGGGTTGTGGTTCTTCCGTGTACTTATCAGCTTGTTCACCATTTGTTGTGGGTGTTATGTGGTGGAATTCCAGCTGATCCTGCCTGGGCCATTCCATTGTTCTTATGTGAATGCTTTGTTGTACTGACACTCTTATGTGCAATATATTTATCTTTAAAACATAAGAAAGCAAGGCGTCATCTTGAAATTTTTGCATTTTCAATCTTGCTTGGCATTTTCATAGTGGTGATTTCATTTTATGGCTGTAATGTTGCTGTATCATTGACAGACAATCTGTTGGTGATCATCATGGCTGGTGCTTTGGTGTGGCTGTTTAAGAATTCTGATTTTGGAAAAATCATAGGCACAGATGAGGAAAAAGGCACAGGCACAGATAAGGGGGAAGGCAAACGCACGGATCCAAACGCACATGGCAGCAGCGAGGGGGAAAGCACAGGATTGATGCACACATCCACTTTATAGTTTCGCTGTGTTTCTGTGAAAAAAAGAGCCAGCCTTTGTGTCGAAGTGAGGTTGCAGTTGAGCTAGCTTACAATAAAAGATACTCCAATAAGTTCCAAATCTTTTCCTTAATGCTAGTTTGTGAATACCTTTTTTTGGCACTTTGAAGTAATCATTAATTTAATTTGGCAAAGCCATTACATTAAAACACTTTTTCAAACAAAATTGTACATTCCAAGTGACCTTTGTTGTTAAAGAATAATGTTAGAACACTTTAAGTTAGTAACCTAGCTACTTCAAATCACCAAAATCTATTGGCTAAATTGCCTGCTCAAAATAACTAAAAAATACACATTTAACTTTCTGTTGATTAGTAAAAACTATACAAAGGCATATTTCATAATTATCTTTTGACTTTTACGAATTAAAGTAAAAATCATTCACCATACAACATCTCTCCAATTTAACAATTCATTGGTAATATATTTTTTATGAGTTACATATGATTGTATTGTAGAGTATTATATTGCAGTTCACTAAAACCTCTATCATATGGATATAGAAAGGCTACAGGAAAGGCTGAAATGAGTGTATATAATCTATTACATCGTTTTATTAATACAGGTAGAAGCTGTTTGTAAGTTTAAGGGCCATAGTCACCAGCATTCAGCCAGGTTGGCTTCTGTAAAATTTTCTTATTGATAGCTAATATTGGATCTGACAAATATATGTGAAGCATGCTACATCTAGAGCAATATAGTTCTTAACAATTAGTCACTATTTATGTACTTACATAGATGATAGCACTCGAGTGAATCAACTTATAGTTCAAAACCCAGGAGACATTAAATAGACAAGAATCAAGTTATTTCATTTATTTTTTAGTGATATTACAGTACAAAGACTTAATTTGATTCCTGTGTATTTAAGCTTAATGTCTCATGAGCATTGAACTGCAAGTTGATTTGCTTGGGTGCTATCATCTATTTAAGTACAAAATAGTGACTAACTGTAAAGACCTATTTTGTTTTTATTTCACAGATTAAATAAAATTGCTCTATTGTCAAGTATAGAAATTTATAATTCTTGCAACTTCTTAGGGTTTTTTTCACTTGTAATGAAAGACCAATTTAATGGCTATCATTGATCACTGAACTGAGATAGGTACATTTTCATACACACAAAAAATTGTAGCAAAAGGTTGTAATTCAATCAACCTCGTTCCCAGGGCCATCACGGACTCCACAAAATGGCCGGTCGTCCAGCGATGACCCTGGCAAACATTGAACTAAGGCGCTTTGTGATTGGCTGATAAAGACGTCATTCTTATACCGCTTGCCATTGGATGTTTATTTTTAAGATATGTTCGGCTATCAATCGGGGTTTGTTCGACCAGATTCGACCGTTATTTTGAATGCGTCCAATTTTCCGAAGAGTTTGATGTCCGTTTTATTGATCAAAAGGCAATAATACTGCTTCAAATTCACGTCAGTTGTCTTTTCGTGTGTTCTTTATCTCATGCATGCTTTTGAGAAGCCAGCCGAAGGTGTAAGTAATTAAACCCGGCCGATATATTTACTGTATTTTAGCGAAAGCGTTGA